CAATCTTATATGACAAATAGATTTTTAACTAGTGATAATATTATATTTTAAATAATAAACAATTTATTTTAATTGATAATATAAAAAAATAATTTAACTCTATTCTTTTAAGGGTCAAACCTACCCCTATTCCCTTTTTTGGGGACGGATTTGGGAGTTCTGCTAGTCATTGAGTATCGTGTTCAAAGTTTGGTTTCATAGGGATTATCTTTAGAATTAATATGATAAAACTAAGAGGCAAATTAAGGTGTGGGGTGAGCAGAAAGAAGCATCTTATAGTAATGATCATGAACCAAAATATAAAAATAAAAAATGAGTGTCATCGATCACCAAACGGATCTTCCGATTTTCTGTCTCCCCACTCCTCGCACGCACGCCCCAAGCACCAATAAGATACTACAATCAACAGGACTTTCTGTTCCTGTTCCCATGAAAGCTAGGTTCACTGTTTTTCCTTTTTCAATTAACAGTACTTTATGACACTAATCCCAATTAATCTTCTCGAAGAAATTACAGAGTGTATGAAAATAACTCCCATGAAAAATTTTGAGGTATTTTTGTCCATTTCACAGTTTTCTTTTTAGCAATCAAGTACTAATAACATTTTTGGCTTTTCTTAATTATGCACATCAATTTAAGTTTACCTCTTCAACCGCTCCAAAAGTAAGCATTTCACATTGGAAAAGAAGTTAGAATTACTTTTAGTCTCCCCATTTGGTTGCTTGAGCATGACGGTAACTGATTTAATGATGTCAAATTATCCCAAGATTTTCTTTGTTTTTATGTAAGGACAGTACTCTCTAAAGTCCAAAGGCACAGCTAGCTATCACCATGTGGTGCCAACCTGAACCCGAGATTCAACTCTTGACTTGACGTTTATTTCTCACTAGTTAAATTCTAAAGCATTAAAAAAAAGACAAAAGAGAAGGAGAATGATATATATAAAAGAATGCGACTTTAGTTGAATAATCTAAAGAAAATGAACAACTTGGGTCATGAACAGTCTTTTTTTCATCATGTCTTCCCACTTTTAGTAGTCTCAGTGCTTGAACATTGTCAAAAGGAGACATTTCCACCTTAAACTTTCATAATATGCTAACCAAAAGCAACTACTTCAAAAAAAAAAAAAAAAATCCATCATTCTCAGATTGCATATGTCCCAGCTTCATGGTCAAATTTGGTTTTTTTGCTCTAGATAAATTTTGGGTCAAATTGCAATGGACAACATTAAATCTATCTAATTCACAATACCACCTTTGTGAAATTTGAGAGAAATTATCTTTTCTCCACAAATTATTAAAAAAAAAAAAATTTAATGTTGCATTTAGACCAATGAATCTAACTAGTACTGCCTGTTCTTTGCCCATGAAAATTGTTTTGCTTAGACGTGTTTATGTCTTATACTAGGGTAGTCCATGTAGCATAATCA